TGTGTTGCCTTAGTATCAGTGCGAGTGTACTTTAAAAAGTGCCCTTTCACTGTGAAAAACCTGGCCATGTTTCCAGATACTATTCCTATGGACTCCCAGTCATTGGTGGAAGTGCGAGGTTCTTGTGTTAATCATTCCAAAGAAGAAGATCCTCCCAAAATGTACTGCAGTACAGAAGGAGAATGGCTAGTTCCCATAGGAAAGTGTTTGTGTAATCCTGGCTTTGAAGAAAGAGGTTATTCCTGCCAAGGTAATGTAACTCATTTTTTTTTCCAAAATATTTTATTGGTGGTTATTTGAGTTGCTCCAGTTTAAAATGCTCTGGCAGTTTAGTAAGTCATTATTAGTCCAGTCCTAGCCTCCTAGCACCATTGTTGGTCCAGGAGCTAGAAACTAATTGCATACTGGGCTTTCTTGAAGGGGTCCACAGCTCTCCAGATCTTCCTTACCTGTCAACTTCCATCCTGCCAATATTGCACGTGCATCTTGTTTCTTGGTCCTGTGTGTTGTTTTGCCCATTCCTGTTTTTTCTTAAGCCTTATCTCTCTTTAGTTCTATGTCTTTTCTATCACTATATATTGATACATGTGCCCATTTCTCTGATTGGTAAGAAGTTCCAGGGGCAAGCACTTACCTGGGTTGACTCTTTTTGAGAGAGGAAATATTGAAGACTTAGGAAATGAGATGTGTTACCATTCCTTTTGTCATGAAAAGTAGGATGGCACACAGTGGTCAGAGGCCAGTGCATGAAAATGGCTGCCAGTTGGTGATGTGTTTCATGAAGCTAGTTCTAAACTTTATCTTAAAGGGACTTCTGTTTTCTGCAGCACATAGTCTTAAACATTTCAGATACTAATGAAAACTGAAATTCTCCTTCAGAGAGGTTTGCACTTCAAGATGCAGTCACACTATAAATCATGAGTAATTATGAGTAAAATACTAATGCATCAATTACTCTAGTTTCTGTTGTTTTATGGGAATAGCAGATAGTCATATTTTGTTGGCAAACTATAGACATGCAGTAAAGTGAAACACAAGCTGTTTAAAGAATAAAGTTGTATTAAGAAGAAAACAAACTTTGTAAGAAAGAGGAGAGACAAAAAGAAGTCTAACTGTCTAACTAACTAGGAGACAGTCAGCAGATTTAGGCTGTGGTCACACACACTAAATAATCTACTTTCAGTACAATTTCCAACTGGATTTTACTGTGTGAACTGGCAAAATCCAGTTGGAAAGTGGATTGCAAGTGGATTATTTAGTGTGTGTGACTGCAGCCTTAGAGTTCTCAGCAGGAGCAGGAAGGAGACCTAACTGAACCAATCAGGAGACAAGAAGGAAACTATTTGAAAATAGTAGGAAGTCCCTAATCTCGCTATGGTAACTAGTTGTTCCTTCTGCTGCCCCCTGCAGGATGTTCTTGTCAACTTTTCTACCTAAGCACAACAGGCCTTGCATATTCCAACATATTTAATTCCCAAAGCATCTCAGACTAGCAGATGAAGCCAAAGGAGGCCATCTTCTTGCAGGATAATCTTTACTTGGAGACATTCTGCCCATGGAAGTTTCCTTCTGTGAGTGGAACATTCCTCCATGAGCAGAATAATCTTATTTAGTTCAAATCTCTTTGGAAGATCCTGAACCACAATCTTGGTGCTGCTCCTGCGAAAGCAGCAATCTGAACTATCTACCCACCCCATGTTTCAAGGAATTCTAGGAGATGCACATTGTCTCTGCTTCTATTTTATCCTCACAACAACTTTATACTATAGTTTAAACTGAGAGATGATTGAGGGTACAAGGTTATGTTAACATTCGACTGCATGGCTGAGAGGACTATGAACCCATGGTAGCATATTGACTCTCTTTTCTTTTAGCCTAGCACACTTAATTGAGATGAAGGTGTGGTATTTCTGTCTGAAAGTAGTGTGTTTACCACCTCAGACCAAATGTTGCAACACTGCCTGATCCAAGTTGCTGGCATAAAGCTTTCTAACTGAAAGCACTCTTCTGAAAAATGTAATGTGACAGTTTCCATGTTAAAGGTCTTTTTGAATATATGCAACCAGGGTTCCCACTAAAGTGCACACCCATGAAAATGTGCATGGATTCTCACCCCTCCACGCACAGCTGTCCATCTCAAGTGTAGGGGTGCTTCCTCTTAGGGGACCCTGAACTCCAACTCAGCCAGGGCCTGCAGGTGGGCCCTTGCTCACATTGCTAACAAAATGCATCACTTTCTCTCCCCCCCTTTCTGCTCATCCGGTGGTTAGGAAGGTGGGAACTGTGGCCAGTAAGGCAGAGCACTCCTTTCTGAAAGGCACTTCCCAGGTCTAATGGAGCATTAGGAAACCCACAAAGGAGGGTGCCAGAAACCAATGAGGAGCTAGGAGTGCATTTCTGAGCTGAGGGAGGCAGGCGGTGATGTTTTGAGGAAGCGAATCTCACGCTTTGTCTCCCACCCCCACCCTGCTTTTTATTCATCCAGTGGCTTTGCACCCCCACTCCCCTCAGCAACAGAGAGAGCCTTGCTGGGTGAGGCTGAGAGTTGGAGGAGAGGGGACAATTCCCCCTTATCTACTGGGATTCTCACCTAAGGGAAAGCGAGCAGGCATGGAGCCACATACCTTAAAAAAGACACAGACTCCTACCAAAGCCCCTCACAAAGCACAGCATGGCTCATCTCTTTGTTTTAAAAGTCAGTAATCCATCAGTCTCTGTGGATTAATGCATCTGTGAACTCTTGATTAGTGTTTCCACCCATCAATTCTGACTCATCAATTTAGCTTCCCAAGAGAGGAAAGGAAAGGGGAGGAGAAAAGGAACAAGCATGAGGGGAACAAATAATCACTATGACTAACAATTTGGTTTTAACCATCCCGGTTGCTTTTCAAACGTGGGGTAGCCATTAGTGTTTGGTGAGTATAGGAGACCAAATCCTTCATTGGAAGAAGATTTTCCCCCTCCCATTGTCTTGAGATGAAAAAACCAGCATTTCTCTTTAAATTCCTGTGGATGAATTGGAGATGAGTACTGCAGCTTGGTGTGCATGTTGCGTGCAAAGACCAAAGTGGGAGAGTTCCAGGAAGTATAATGTTAATAAATCCCTGGGTTTGACTTGCTGTAAATGTGCTTGGAGAGCCAGAGGGTGAGAATAGTATTTTACTTTCTGGCACCTTCTAACAATGAAGTAAGCTCAGACAAACAACTGTTTGTCTCCCCACCTCTCTTTTCTCTTCCGAGGCTGCCTGGGAAACTTCTCCCTTCCTGGGAGATCAAGTACTTTTGATGGCTGATGCACTTTGAACTTTGAAGCTTAGAGAAGTAGGTCTAGAAGAGGAGCAGGTAGCTCAGGCAGTGCCTTCTCTTTCTAGAGCAGAAGGAAAAGCTGTCTTTGGCTCTTATATCTCTTTGAGTTTTCTTGTACTATTTGATGAAAACAGGCATTGTCCAGGTGGATTACATTAGATGGTCATTCTCCCTCCAAGTAGTAGTTAAAATAGCTTGTAGGTGCAGAAAGGAAAGCACTAGGAGCAGCTTACCCACCCCCCTCCGGCTCACCTAGAAATGTGTTTATTTGTTTTCTTCTCGCAGACCTCTGGCTATAGGATTCTCCCTCCTCCAAACATCCAATTGTTTCCCGTCTTAATATGGGAATGAAGGTGACATCTGTAGCCTCTGGTGATTGTTTCAAGGTGCCTGCATGGAGTTTGCCTAGTGTGTGCAAAAGTATCGATGAATTTTAGGTTTAAGTAAAAAACAACAACAACAAAACAAAAAACAAACCTCAGCAGGAAGCTTAATGCTTTATTAAATGCTGAGAAAGCCATCCTTTGTGCAAAACATTTTTACATGTGCATCTTGCAAGAGAATTCTCAGTTACAAAGTGCAAACCCAATCAGTCTGATCCTGGTTTTGGGAAATGAATTCCCATTGTGGAGTGTGTATTTGTTAAATGAACTAAATCTTCTAGATGTTTGTGGAACTTTTCAAGCCTTAAGTGCAGATTGCGAAAGAGGTTTTAGTTTGATGAATGCCATCAAAACTAGGATTTGAAATCAGCTAGATGCACATCACCTGGAGAACTTAATGAGAATTAAACTCCATATGTCAACTGGGAATAATATTAATTTTGACAGCGTTTTCAATTTTTGGAAAACAGAAAGTAAGAAGAGAGAAGTTAAATTAAAACATTTTCTGTAATGATAATATAACAATAGTTTATATGTTATGTTTTTATGTTTTGTAAATTTGTAAACAGAATTTTTTTTAAAAAAAAGAAAAATGTCGGCCTGCTCACAATTTTAAAGCTAGCACCATTTTTGGCTCATGGGGTAAAATTTCTGCTCATGAGACTGAACACCTTAGAAGGAACATTGGGTGCAACTGCTACAAATACATATAAACAAGTGCTACTACAATCACATCTAAACAAGTAAAAATATCATCAAAATTAGTTTCTTAAGCTCAGAACAGGTATTTTATTTCAGTATTTATACCTCCAGATGAATCCTATTTTTAGAGACCATGCCTGTTGACTTTAGACAGCAAAATATTACTTTTGACCATGAATGTGAAATGTAAAACGGGACTCTGATCCTGCAATCATTTCTTGGTATCCAGTGGAGCTGCCCTGCGTTTTGATTTCCATTCCATTTGTTCAAGTGAGCTTTGTATGAGAAGGCCATTAACAAAAGTGACAGGATATTCTGGTATGCTCTGGTTTTACATACAATGTCCTGCTGTCCTGACAGCTTTTATCAGGACCCAAATTTGTCAAATATTTTCACTAGGGTGTGATTTAAGTAGCACTTTAAAAGCAGTTGGTAACCCAATCTCCTCCCTGCTGTTGCAGTCAGTAACACAGCAGGAAGAAGGCTTGGAAACCAGTCCAGTTTTTCACATACCTTTTGACTGACCAATGCAGCTCTGTGTCTATGTTTGTTTGTTTTTTAACCTAAAGCTAGCAATTAAAACAGCTATTCCATATGCAGAGCAGATCAGAAGTGGGCAGGCAAATTTGACATTTAATTATGAGTAAAGTAATTTGGAGAAACATTTGGATCATACCTGAAATAGCAATGTAAATGTCTGTGGATAGCTTTTATCACACTTGGAATTTTTAGGCAGCTGCCTCTATTAAGATCAATTGGCATTAAACAAAAAAGAGAAAAAACACACAGGACATACAAAAATATATATTCAAGCAAGTTCATGCAGTCATTTAATAGCCTTCTCTTTCAATTTAAGATG